GCATATATCCTGAATGTGGAAAATGAGATGGTATAAAACATAACCATGTTTTCACATACAGAGGGCTTCAACAAGAATTGGCTTTCTCTCATGTGGAGCTTTCTTGCTTGGTGTAGCAGGCACTAATGATTCTTGTCTGCTGAAAAAAAAATAATTAAAAGGTCAAACCATTCAGCCCAAATCATCATGCATTTTGAAATAAAGCTTTAATAGTGAGAAAAACAGGAGAGATTCCTTTTTTTTTTTTTTTTCCTTTTCCAGCTGAAAATACTGGCAGCTGTCAGCAAATTGAAGACAGGGAAACTTTCAGAAGTATTTGCCTTCTAAACTGCTATCACTGCCTGCAGTCTTCTTGGAACCAGATTTATATTTGCTGACTGCATAGGCATTTTGTTGGAAGCTTTTTTCTGAAAATATAAGAAATAACATTTGAATTGCTTTTGGATTTCTAATAGGATTTTGTCTTATTTTTAAAGCCTCTGAGCTGGATGTGTATTTCATTCCTTCTCATTTTTTTGTTTTTCTTCTAAATATCTGCTTTGTATCTGGCACAAAGTGGAATGCAAAATAATTAAGCAAATAATTTGTGAGTGCCTGACTACAAAACAACACTCCCCCCAACATTCTCAGTAATTCTATTTTTAACTGAAGCTTTGACCTGTAGTAGAGAGAATAAGTTGTTTTAGTGTTCTCACAGTTCTAGATTCGCATTATAACTTAAAAACCTGTCCCAATCTACTGAGATTTTTGTATCCTTCATGATGATACTATTTTCACTTAATTCCCAGTGACACCTTAGTTCTTAAATTGCTTACAGATATTTTTTTTTCTCTCAATACTAGTTAAACTATTTCTCAACACTACAAAAGCTGCAGAAAATTCCCAGTCAAAACTTTTTAATGCTAGATTATCTACATGAAACAAATACTTTTAGGTATTTTGTTCTCCTTTGACATTTGAAACCAGACTACCGCCTTCCTACAGGGCTGCTTGTCGAGGCTCACAAACAGCTCTGCATTATACAGAGAAGACTCAGCTCTGTTTTCTAAACAACTTTTTCATACCATGCCACCCACAACAAAAGAGTTTGGGGCTTGCCTCGCCTCTTCAGTCTTGATGTACTTCCTTTTTTATTCCCATGTCTCCAGTCAGTGTGGCAACGTGTGGCCTGGAGGCTTGGCTTGTGACTCTTTGGATTTGCTCGATGCGATAAGCTGATGTACAAGTGCTCAGACGGATTGTCAAAGTATGCTCGCTGGAAATTAAGGAGTTTTTGTGGGCTTGAGAAGTGGAAACTCAAGTCCAGGCTTGAATTTTAGGTCCTTCAGTTTGCTCTGTGTGTGTGTTTCGTAGCGTTCCCCAGGGGAAATAACAAAATTGTAGCTTCTTTGGAATTGGAGATATAGCTGTGTCCAGGTATTTTGCACAAAGCTGTACTAGTGTGGAAAAACAGGAGTGCCCCCGTATCAGGCACGTTCAGCCTGTGAAACACTTGTAGTATCATTATTTCTCATGATGCTCAAGTATTTTATTTGCTGGAGGAGCGTGGTGCAGCTGACAGAAAGGTTGTGTTATTCGTACCATGAAAGATCCCCGCAGCGCAACCGGTCCTGGCGGCCAGAGCCCACCGGCAGTGACAGGGACCCAGCACGGGGAGCTGGCTCCTTGGCTGCTGGCTTCGCTCTTTGCAGGGCGCAGGCGGAGGAGGACTCGCAGACTCGACCAGTAAGGATTTCTGTTTGAAACAGACGGTGGATAGGTATTTCAAGGCTGATGGTGAGATTCAAAAGGGAACTGTTTCTCAGTGATGATCTTGGTTATGCTTTAAAACATTTGGGAGAAAATGTCTGTGAATTGGGGAAAAAAACCCCAAACAACCAGAGAGAAACAGTAAAAGGCTGTGCACAATGCCAGCTGCTGTTAGAGGTTGAAGGTTTACTTTTGTTTTTAGAAACATTGCTTCAAATAATTTCATTGGTCTAGAGAAAATTGCACCTTATACCTTTTTGTTCATTTTTCAAAGTGGATTTTTATGGAAGAAAAGGGTTGTTCTGAGTGTTGGACAGGTTAAGCCCCGCGCTTTCAGAAGAGCTCTCTGAAAAGACACTGAGCATTGTGTGTTACGGTTGCATAGTGATACCACCGTGGTTCTTGCTCTGTGATGAATAATTCAAACGAAAGTGGCTGGTGAGCTACAAATATTTGGAACAGATTTTTTGAGTGTACTGTATAATGAGGGGCAGCAGACAGTAATGAGCCTTTTCCACCTTCATGCCTTCCTTGGGACTGGGCTCAGGTGAGGAGCAACTCTCATGAAATTTCCAGAATATAACAAATAATCCCCCAACATCAAATAAGTATTCCCTATCCTGGGTGGAACCGATAACTGGAAGTAATGCTTGAACTCAAAGGAGAAAAACTGCTCCCTTTTTTTTGTTTATTTTTAGTAGAAACAGCATATACAACAGTACTAACTGGGAAGGCTACAAATAGTGTGATCACTAGCAAGCTGCCAGCATTTAGGAAAAAGTTGTCTGCATCCAGCCTTCCTTAGCTCCTGCCTTAGAAATTTCACTGGGAATTTCACATGGTGCTAAACTTTGCATGCATGTTATCTCTATACCACAGAAGGAGCCAGCACCCTTTTCCCTGTGTGGGAGAGCGTTAATAGCCATGCCTGACGGGCAAATGTGTTCTTCTGGCTAGTGGTCAAAGGAGAGTTGAAAGCCCTTGTACTGTCCAGTGTTTTTACTGAATAACTGATGCGGGCAGCTGGATTGCTGGGAGCTGCCTCGGGATCATCTGGGAGGTTACTGAGCTTTTGGTGTGATCTTGGAACCATCTTCCTGTGTAAATAAAGGGTAAGTATTAGTAAGAATGATTACCTTAAATTATTAGATGTTTTAAGATGTCCTGTGCTTCCTCATTAAACAGCCTTTGAAAATTAAAATAAAGGTCATCAGCCCAACCCAGTTCTGTGGTTAATGCTTTTTCCTGGTTTGATGTGATCTAGTTAGTTACTTCAGGCATTTATAGTCTTATGGGGGGGCAACCTTTGAAATGTACCTCAGGGGAAAACAATTCTGCCTAGTGCACCACCTCCTCATGGCTTTGCACGTAACCGACGCCGTGAAAATCAGCTTGGTTTGGCCTATGGGGTGACCAGAGGAGGTCCTGCCCACGGTCGCCTGCGGCGGGTGCTGGAGGGGCAATCGCTTCCCTGAAAGGTCGGGCAGGCGATGTACAACGTACGTCTGCCGACGGGAGCGTGAGCTGTACAGAGAAGTGTGCACATCAGCAGATGGAAGGAGAGGTAGGATGTGTTCAGAAAATAGGCAAGCACGACCAGCATGTAGTCAAAAGCTACAATGGCTTTGGTGTTTACCTGTGTGCATTTAAACCAGATAAGCTTTTTTTTTAAATGCCTGCCTTTATCTCAGTGCAAATCATTACAGGTGAGTTATAACTGAAAATAGGAGGCTTTAAAAACATGGAAGTTTTACAGCTGTGGTGTGTTGATACTGCAGGATCTCCTCTTTCTCACAGTAATGCTCTGAGCTCAGTGCCTGCTTTTCAAATGATAAAAGGTTCTAACTGCTGTCTTTTTTTGCCCTCAATCCTAGGTCCTAATTAAGCAGTAACTGTAAGAGCAGTAACTGCAGTAATCATTTCTCTTTGCACTGATCTAATCTGAAGCCACGAGCAGCTGCAATAGTTACGCTACGAAGGATTTTTCCCCTTTGGCACGTATTGCACAGGCTGTCCCTCGATTTAGGTTACAAGTGCTTGAAGGCTATTGATTTTTTTTTCCTCTGTTTTATGAGAATGCTCCTCTTTTTAGCAGTTTAACTTGTCAGGTTTGAATCTGAATGATCATCAGGTCATGAAACAAAAGTATTTATGCATCTGATTACCTGTTTATCTGGTCAGGGAAGCTCTGTAATAATCCAAAACCCCCCTTCTGACTCCTGAGCTGCTGGAGATGCTGTGCTCTGGGTGTTGTCCGTCTCCTGCCAGATCGCACACACGAGGTGGCTGTAAACATTCATAGTATTTCTTAAGGGGAAGTGTCGTTGCGGCGTTGCTTACCGACATCCTAGAAACACGCTGCGTGTATGAAAATTACTGTACTGTGGAAATAACCCAGGATTTTCATTAGGCTGATTTGGGTGTGTTGCTAGGCAACTCGGGGTAACAAGGGGGTCATATATATTCTTTAGGTAGGTACCGGTCCCTATAGAGATTTTCCAGGTAAGTGACATAGATGTGAGAGAGGCTGATCAACTGCAACACAAGAAGCTAAAGCCCCACAAACTTAACTTTCGTTAAGAGGAGTTTTTCAAGCAAGAAATTGGATTAGACCCAGGGATGACGTATCCTGTTTGATTTCTTTTCCCTTTGCGCCCTGACGAGCTTTGTGTTTAGGCAGGCTTTTGTTTCTGGCTCTGAGTTGCTTTAAAAAAATTTGGGAGTGTGTCTCGGGGTGTCGAGGGTGATGTGCTTGGCTTGATTGGCTCGGTTCGCTTGCGAGTGCTTTGTTCTTCTCACCACCCTCAGGTCGGTTGTGCAACATGCCACTACTGTTTAAAAAGAAAAAAAAAAAAATGCTGAGTAATGCCAGAGGTTTCTCAAATGGCTGATGCAAACCTGGAGAATTTGCATCATCATTCAGCTGGAGTAACTTGGTATGACACGAGCTTAAATACAAGTCCACGCGGAAGCTGAGCTGGTTTCCAACGATAGGGCAGTACCAGCTCGCAGTGTGAAAGCGCAGGTATTCCTGAGCAGTGCTCAGATCGCAGTATCAAGGCTCAAACACACTTTAGGAGCTTTGCTACCTGTGCGTAGGAGCAGCTGGAAAGATAAGAGAAGGCAGAGGAAGAGACTTAAGTAGTTGGCTACACAGAGAGGAAAAAAAAAACCAAAACAAAAACCCCTTGAGTTTCTGCTGCAAACTTTTTGCCTGTGCTTGCCGTTGGTGTGCTTGGTGGCACTGTAGCATGTTTAGGAAAGCTGCTGTAACCACGGTCTCTAATGGAAGGTACTTGCAGGGGCAAGCTAATGGCAGGTTGCCCACTATGGACAGCGGACAGCCAGCCCAGGAGGGAAAAGTTGTGCTGAAGAAGAAAGTGACCCTTTTGAGGGGGATATCCATCATAATTGGCACAATCATTGGAGCCGGCATCTTCATCTCTCCCAAAGGCATCCTGAAGAACACTGGCAGCGTGGGCATGTCCTTGACTGTCTGGACAGTGTGCGGTATCCTCTCGCTCTTCGGTAAGTCCCTTACAAGTTTCTAATTGGTCCAGAGGGGCGGCTGGTGGATTATTGCTATTATTTGTCTGATTTTGCCATTGGATAGCAAGGCACAGTGTGGAGCTTGAGGACCAATAGGGCTACAGAAGTTTTTTGCTGCGTGATAGGTTGCGTGGAGGGCACAGAGGTATGCAATCCATATCCCCCGGCACCTGGTCGGTAAAGATTGGAAGTGTAAATTATTGTTCCTTATGGGTCCCTAAAGGAATAGGAAAAGTAAATGTCTGTTTTATGCCGTACAGCTTGCTGTACGTATAATGTTTTTCTGCTGGCTGTAAGAGGTAGTTCACGGTTTGCTTGTAAGGCCCCCGGCAGCTGAGGATGCGGGTCACTCCGCTCGAACGCCGGTGAAGTGTTTAGACAACTCGACTTAGTTCCTTAGAGGTTAAAGCAGTGTCTGAGAGGAATAATTCCCATTGGGCGTAAGCTGTATTGGCATGAAAGGGAGCAAAATAATAACACTAATAACTTCTCTCCTCGGTCTTGTATTACTGCTCTTTACTTCGTTCCCCTCTCATGATGTTGCTTTGAAAGATTGCGCTGCAAAAAACAGTGTGGTGGAAACAAATTTGTAATATGAGTTTTATTGCTGGCCTGCCTCTCGTGACATTTTTTGCTATTTTTGTGTATATTTGAAGAGTATTCAATTCTGAAGAATGCCAGTTTATTTGTTGTGTACACAAAGCCCCCATTCAGAGTGGGAAACCCCACTCTGGCCTCTGCGGGACAGAGGGTCCATTGACCTACTTAATGAGTTAATCTCAAAGAAGCTGAAGGACTAACATGAATATTGGCTTTATTTAAAACAGAAACGACTCGTTTTCTGGCAGGAGGTAAAGAGGACAAACATGAACTAACACGTGTCTGCTTAGTAGGTGGAACATGCAAATACCACCCTGTGTAAATTGGCTGTGAGCTTAAAAGAAACATGGGCTGTTTACAGGCTAAGCCCACCCAAGCCAAACAGACAGTACAAGCAAGTTAGGACCCATTTTGGTCAAATGTTAAATGTATTGATACAATGTGCAGCTTAATCTTTTGTACCAATGTGGAAGTCCTGCCTGTAACCAAAAATTCCCTCTAAAGAAAGACTTCAGATGCAATTTGTAGCCCTGTCAGAAGACCTTGGTCTTTAGATTTAGTTAAAACAGAATTTGCTTAAGCATTGAATTTTTGGCTTTAACTTTAATAGTAGTAATTTTCTGGCTGTGAAGTAAAGTCTGTACAAAAAAAAAAAAAATATTCTCTTTTATCAAATGGATTTTCTAGGTCATTTTCCCGATCTCAAGATATGAAGAACTGTGTAATTTGGCCCAGCAAAAGATACTATCTCTTTAAAACTGACGTGTTACAGTTGTGGTTTTTTTTCATATTTTTTTTTATGCCATGGGTGTTTTTAATTCCCTGCATGACTTAATTATAGTAAAATCATATGCAAAGATCACTTAAGGTCTTGCTGAGTCTGTGTGTATAACATGTATTGAAACACAATTTCTTTTCATCCTGAACCTCAACAGCAGAGACTGGCAAGAGAAAACCCATCAATAGCTTCTTTTAATGTGACTGTAAGAATTCCTTTAATTTATTTTCAGGTACACTGAAGAATAGCAGGTAAAAGCAGCCACATTTTTGCAAAGCCCCAAAAAAAGCAAAAGAACAAGGATGCAATTTGTCATAACGTGGTACAACTTCACGGGTCTTGTACATGTTACGTGGTTTTGACAACTATAATTTTCATCTTAAAGTACTGCAACACAAAAGCATGTGGGGAACAGAGCCAAAATGAGTTCATATATGTTGCTGATGCTAACTCTGTGATGTGGTGTTTACAAACTTTATTACTGTTTTCAGCTGGCTTCTCAGACTCTTCTAAAAGGGCTGCCTACATTTATCGGACGTGGTACTGACGTAGTCCGCCCGTGGAGCTGAGAATCCCCTGGCTTTGTGACTGGGTGATGGCTCACTAAGGAACAGGAGGAGATGGTGCATGGGTGAAGAAGGCTTCATGCAGGTCCTCATAGTTGCAGCGTCCTGTTGCCTGCTCCATAATGACCGGGGCCACACGTTGTGCTGGCAGCATCCTCGGGGAGATCTCCGAGAGCTGCTACTTCTAGCACTTGCTCCAAAGGGGCCTGAACCTCTTCTGCATGAACTAATGCAGCAGTGCGGCAATGATTTGGGTTTTATTTTTGGTCAGTGTAAATGCACCAGAGGATGAAATGAGACTCCTGCTTTGAAAACATGGTCTGTATTTAAGGCAATGCAGAAAAGGCCTGAGCTTTCGTTGCATTAGTAGTGCACAACGCTGCACTAGTGTTGAAAAGCCAGGGCTAAGCCATCCCCCGAATTTTGTATGTAAAATGTTGGGAGTACTATTGAGGAAAATTCTTAATCTGCAATTCCTTCGTCTAAATTTTGGCCAGTTGATTGCTTCACCTATGGCTGAGGAGAGGTAATATGGTTTTGAGGCTTTTCTTTAGCGGCTCAGCCAGGCATCTCTAAGGCTGAAAGGAACTGATCATCATTTGATAAGAAGCAAATGTGTCAGAAGGCTTTCACTCAGCGGTGCAGTCAGGCTGGCTGGGGAACCGGGGTAGCTGGTGTGACACAGGCTTTTGTTGTCCCTTTTCACGAGATATGGATGAGTAATGAAATGTGTTGAAAGCAAATAGTTTGTTCAGTGGCTTTACACGTAAATGTAACTGGATATACGTATGGTTTGGTTAACTGCAAGACTAACTGAATGAATTAAAATTTACAAAAAAAAAAAAAGATTAAAATATCTCAAAAGTAGTTGTGATACCACGGCAGCTCCATTGCTTAGCTTATAAATGTTTTGAAAGGTATTTCTGCATATCTCTTGTGATGCCACAGTTTAATTCTCACAGGTGCCCTCTGCTATGCTGAACTAGGAACATGCATTAAGAAATCTGGTGGTCACTACACCTATATCCTGGAGGCCTTTGGCCCATTACCTGCTTTTGTGAGAGTCTGGGTTGAATTACTCATCATTCGGTAAGTGTATTGTGGCTTTTCTGCGTGGCTTTTCTGATGGCAATACACTTTTCAGTTGTAAGGAAAAATCTTCAATACATGATGGGCAAAACAAATCAGATATATCTTGATCAATGAGCTGTGTTCTTTTAAATTCTCTGAAGCAACCATATTAATAATGCTATTTTGCTCATCAGCATTGAAACAGTCAAGAAAACTTATGTGCGTGTATAGGGGGGGAAAAACAATTCTAAGAAAACTGCCTGCCACAAAAATTCAGCTACTTGCTTTAATTTTGCTAAGTCTACTGTGTCCATTAATGTCACTAATAAAGCTAATACCCATACCTATATATAGTATAGTGGAAGAGGGAAGTCATCTTTATGTTTTCTCAGGCTTGGCACTAGCTTTTGGAGCATTTGCTGTTGTCTGTAGACACAGGAATAACCCCTGGTGAAGTTATTGCCCAGTGGTTTTCAGGTTTGGAGTCACCATGTATTCTTTATATGTCAATTCAGGTCCCTGTTTTTTCGTGTTGTGTTTTTTTTTTTTTGTTGTTGTTTTTTGTGGGGAGTTGGAGAACTTCACTCTTGATTACTACAAAAAGCACTAACTGGCCAAATAAAGCAACATTAAGTCCTTACGTATCTAAAATGTCCAAAATATTGATTTGTTGTGTAAGCCTGTGACTCATGCAGCCCTTGACATTGTATAGGTGAATTGCAATATGAAGATGCCAAATCATTGAATAGTGTCAAATAACTTTTCGTAATGTAAATGGATTTTTGCGTTGAACTCAAACGTGGCCTGTTGACTTTTGACTTTTTTTTTTTAGTATTGCTGAGGCTGGAGAGCTTGTTACATGTAGAACAGGGCAACTCAGGCTAGTTAGCACTCCTTTCCCCTCTCTTCCTCAATCAACAAATTAGTGAAAAAAACACAAGCCTCATTTCAAATCACAACTACGTTTACATAATGTTGACAAGTTCTAGCATAGGTGGTTGAGTTTAAAAGCACTGACAGTGCTTAGTCATTGTGAATCCATAAATCCTTATCTTGTTTCCGGAGGAAATCATTGTGTATGTCAGATGGTCCCTGACATCCTCCACACCCATATGTAACCTTTGAATTAACTCTGTAATTTCCAGCAAACGTGATGAAAGAGCAGATGTCTTAACAGTATTAACTTTTTGCCAAAAAGGAAAACCAGACAGAGGGCACAGACCAATGTTTTGCTGTGAGAAGCACGGTGCTGTGAAGGTAGCTATATCATTGCACACTACAGAATCAACAAGAGAGAGCAGCGTTAGAAACTCTCCTCTTAACCTGCACCTTACTAGACAGGGGGACCTTATTAACCTAGGCACAAAGACCCGCAAGAAACCAGGCTTCATAAATCCCTCTCCTCGCAAAAATTACTTGTTTACATATGACAGTGTCCCAGGACTGTCACGAAAACACTCTTAGTCACCGTGATTTGCCCCACACCCAGAAAATAATCATCTTGCATGGGAAGGAATGTCAGTGGATTCTTTAATCATCACATCCGAGAGGCAGCAAGGGAGGTGTACTTGTTATAACTTGCAATGATCAGAGCAGCACTGCCGAAACTCTGTGTAGAGTTTTATATCCAACTCCTGCATTGGTAAACTAATTGGCTGCCGCTATCAAAGAAGTTGAGACCTACTACGTATCTAGGTTTGTTTCAGTAGATGGGGTTGCACGCACACTTCATAGCTAAGCCATTTGTTCCCCTGAAAGATTGCAGGATTATCACACCCACGGGCTGGTGGAGCAGCCGCAATCAAAATAAACATTTTCTGCTCTTGTGTATCTTTTCAACCATGATTTTACAGTCTACGACACACTTAAACTCTGCCCACATACTGATTAAACTGTGCCAGCATCACCTGCTGTTTAGAAGTGCTTACACTGCGCTGCTTCTCATCCAGGTCAAGTAGGAACATTTTTCCTCCCCAAAAGTCAGATTGCAGGTATATTACATAGCTTTTTTTTTTTTTTTTAAAAAAAAAAGCTAGTTCTCAAACAAGTGAAGATGCCTGTGTGAATGCATTGTCTGTAGTGCTTAACGGTGGTGGCTGCTGACCAGGGACTGGGTGAGGGTGAGCTGCCAAGTGACTGACTCACCATGGTGTGGGCTGGGGCCCTGTACCTGCTCCCTTCCCCCTGGCTCTTCTGCTCCTTGGCCTTCAGTGAAAGATGTACTTTCTGAACAAGCAACTGTTAGGGAGCTGCTGACCTGTCTTTAGGATTGCCACCAAAAGACAAATGGCCCCATCCCTTCAACTTCCACCTCCATTGATTGACCACGCTGCCAGCAACATCTCCCCCCAGATGTCGGAATACAAGACACACAGCTGTTTATCAGAGGTATAATTTAGGAGCTATGTTTTTAAAAACATAGCTGTGCGGATAGCAGTGACCGCCTCTTTAAAAAGGACTTTCTTAAAATGAGGGAAAAATCCACGTTCTGGAAAAAGGAGCTGGGACTGAGGAAAAAAGTCTGGGAAAGCTCCAAAGATCTGATCTCTCATCTGATTTAGGACACTTCATACTACTTTTGGCAGGCTGCACTATTTGAAAGCCGGAAACTCGGTGATGATCTTATGTAAATTAGAAATATTGCTCTGAGGTAAAGCCAGTAAATGTCTGTGTAAATCCAGCACAGAGGACATGCGGTCCCTGAGCAAAGGCAGAAGTTGCAAAGCCAGTTGTTGGCCAGTGAGAGGGACAGTCCTCGTGTGTGGGGGACCCACAAGTGGCAGCCCTCGCTTGTCCGCGCAGAAACTTTCCGAGGAAGATACATCTGTTCTTGGCTGCTCTGCAGTTTGGTCCGACGCAATGTGTGACATTTTGGCTGAGTCATAACGCGAAGAAAGTGGGGTTTGTTTCAAGAGCGAAACTCTCTTGTGGAAAATTCCTTTATCGTTCGATAGAGAACAGCAACTTCTCTGCAGAATTTTTAGTGTTCCATAACGTTTTTAGCAACTATATTTTTATTAAAATTCTGTAAGGTGAGGCGTTATTTTATTAAATGCTGTAAATTTTTTTTTTCACAAGAAATTGGCATGGACTCTTTTTTAAATCAGAGTCCTTTGAAGCAGAATCACGTGCCCTTTTGTCCTTATAATAATAACCAGCTGCCCTAAGAAGGGTGCAAGTGTCCTCCCAGGCCAAACGTGAACTGTCACATACAGACAGCGTCTGATCCGAAGCACAGGATAACGTGCTGTTAATATGTGTCAGGACTAAGGCTTCTGGCAAACATTTAGCTTGCCTCAAAGGGAAAGGCTGTATGGATATTATGAGTATTGTAAATTTGCAAATGCCACAACTGCATGCCTTTCTTCACATTTCTCTGTTTCATGGTAGGTGCTTTCTGTACTTCAAGGATTTTTGCTCTCACTTGCAGTACTAGGAAAGTGTTAGTCAATAAAAGGAACAAATTCTCTTTGCACTTTAGGAAATCCTATTTTCATTCTTTTTTTTTTTTTTCATTGTCTCATTTTAATCACAGACTTGGGTATGTTTTGGATACCTATTTTGGTAAAGCAGAATTCTTAGCTTGATTGAAATTAATTTGCTTGTGTCTCTGAGGGGTGAGACACACCTGGCCGCTAAAATTGAGTCCTCAACAGCTTTTACTCAGGGTTTTGCCCGTGTAATCTAGTTCTGGACATGTTCACTTCAAGCAAGTGAATGAAGATTTCTGTTGATAACTTTCCTTTCTGTTTACGGCTGCTTCACAACATGGAAGTCGTAAGAGTGATCCTGGTAAGAAGCGTTGCTGTCAAGATCAGAACCGCCAAGCAAAGCTAAACTGCTCCTGGTTTCCTGCTACATTCAGAAATCAGAGTTAGTACATGGCAGCAGAGTTACAAGCAGGCACCAAAATAAAGTATGGTTCACAGTTCTGTGATAGTAAATTTACAGCATGATCCCATAAGAATATTATCTATGTGCTATTGCAGATTAATTTTGTGACTTTTTTTTGTTGTTGTTGCTGTTGTTGTTTTTACTCTAGCCCTGTTGCCTGAGCAGTGATATCGTTGGCATTTGGACGTTACATTCTGGAACCTTTCTTTATGCAGTGTGAAATCCCAGAACTTGCGATTAAACTTATTACAGCTGTTGGCATCAGTAAGTATCCAATTTTAGGTTTCAGGGAAGGGTAAAGATGATGTAAATTGGAAAAAAAAAAAAGTAACTGCACATTGAACAGGTAGTTATTTGATGTGAATCATTACAAAATGACTGTGCATCCAGTGCCAAGGGCATCAGTGTGATTTTTTTTGCCTGGGTATGTGTGTTTGTGAACATACGCAATAGTAAAAAGAATAGCAGACTTTATTAATGGCAGGGAAAATCTATTGCCAAGGCTGATTCCGTTGCCACTTGAATTAATGGCAGAACTCTCATTACTTTTGTGGAAGCAATTTCAGTCCCTAAGAGGTGGTGAGCCAGTGCCAGAGATATGGAAGAATGATTACCTGATTTTAAGTGCTTTGCTCTACCTCTGTTTTAGGAAGCAATCGAGTGCCAAGTATGATGCCATGAAGAAATGTAGTTCTCTTGAGTGGAGCACAGGCAACATGAGATCATCTTCCCTAGTCCCACTCTGTCCTTCATAGCATTAAAACTTATTGAGGCACTTGCGGTTCAGGAAGCAGGAACCCAGCTGATGACTTTGGGAGCAGGGTGTACAGCTTGGTGAAAAATCCATGCCTGTTATTGGCAGCTTGTCCTGCTCTTGCTACCTTTGCAGTGAGTGTAAAAGGGACCATTTAGGACTACAGAGAGCCAATAATTGCCAGTGGAAAGGAAGGAGGCTACTCTGAGACCAGGAGCTTTACAGTGTACTTGGGCTGGTGTGGGAGGCTGGGTGAAATGGGAAGGTGCAAATCGTGTTGGGGATGGGACTCTGGAGCCGTGTGCCTGTAGAGCTAGAGGCTTGTTTCCAGTTCTGCCGGGTCACTGGTGGTGATGATCCTTGCACACGTGCGCACACATTCCCATTCAGCTGGGCTGGGAGGAGAGTGCAGAGTAGACCTGGGTAATTAGTAACAGATTGTTCCTTTCAATTTGGTCAGTGCACATATCAGAAACAAAAGGACCGGAAAAAGGAATTAAGACATGCAAAATGATCAAAGGCACACAGGAGACCCCTTCAGTTTTGCACAATAATGGATTCACGTGACTTTTTGTTTCTTTGGGGTAGGGAGTTCAATTGACATTGAAATTTCCAGTCTCCAGGTTACTGTGGCTTTTTGTAGGAGCTCTCTTGATAAGAGTTCCCTTCTGCCAGGAGTGTTAAAAAAATCAGTATGTGACCGCATTTCTTTCTAACTTAATTATGCACAAACTATAGGTTTCATAGGAATAATTGAATTAAGAGCTTGAATTTTGAGGTCAATGACTTTTTATAGCTACATCTGTCTAAAATATTTCAGTGTAAGATAAGGGTGAAACAGATGTTCAGTAACTTCAAGGTCACGGAGACAAAAGGAATGTTGCGAGGACTCCATCAAAGCATTTTGTTAAGTGCATGTGATTCAAGCACAATAAGTGAACAATTTGAAATAGGTTTTTATTGCTTTTAATTTAATTGAAAATCTGTGTGATAAGCCAGGGCTTTGCAAAGTAATTAAACAAAGAAGTCGCATTGCGGGGGTGTGTGTGTGGAGTTATGCTGAAATAATTACAGCCTAAAGGGAGAGAGGAGTTCAGAGCAGACCGCTCCTATGGCGAGCGCGGGTCTGTACAACGCAGGTAGGATGGGCTGCCATTTCACTGAAAGAAGGGATTCTTGTAGAAAGTTTGTAATGGGAAATGGGACAATGCTGAGGAAAACAGTGACACGTCAGACTGAGGCTTGATCTTTATTCTTTGCAGTATGCTCTAGAGTGGAGTTCCATTTGTAGTAGTCTTTGATCATATGCTGTGCTTAAGCTCAGGGATCCCAGTATGTGTGACTGTTGTTCTTGTATGGTAAGAATTAGCTGTTGTGGTGGTAATTGTTATGAATGTTTTGTATTGCGCGTGTAGGCAGAGTGATGGGTAAGATTAAGGTGGTATTGAGCTGAACAGACACATTGGAGCCTTGAAGATCTTATAATCCAATTTAATGGTGCCAAAGGTAATGTTTGTTTCCACGGAAAATTTTAAGTTAATCAGAAAGCAAGCTGACATGCCTTTTGTCTTCTTATCCACTCCTGGTCCGGTGTATCTGTCTTTATTGTGTGTGGGGGAAAGGTAGTGGGAAGCACCATTAAACTCTGTCCTTGGGCGAGACTTTGTTCTCTAGTTTTACCTTGTCATTTCTGATCATACTAGAAAGGGCAGGAAGAGATTTTGAAAAATTTCCAGGTGATCCCCTACCCCCAAACACAATCAGTGTATCTAAATAATTTCTGACAGATGTTTGTCTAAACCGGTCTTAAGACCTATAGCAAGGGAGTTTCTAAAGCCTCACCTAATACTGTAGCCCAGTGTTTTTCATCCTTGTCACAAGACAGCTTTTCTCTTTTTCTTTTTTCCACCTAAACCTCCTTATCTGCAGTTTAAGCCTGCTATTAAAAGGTTGCCTGAGATGGATGCAACCAGGATTATGATGGGGAGTGGCAAATACCGTTGCTCCTCTACCTGCAAACACGTACTTTTCATAGAGGGGCTACAGCCCATTCTGCTTCCCACCATTCCTTCTCAGTGCCTTTGTGGTGGAAAAGGAATGATGGTGCTGTAGAGAAGATATTAGATGAGATGAGACCTAAAATGGAACTACTGGAGATGGTGACCCTTAAAAAAACCCCTCATTCTTGGTTTATTTATAGGAAAAAAGCATGTGCTGGGCACAAAATTCCCCTTGAAATCACATCTATTCTGAGCCATTTTGAACAATCTGTAGAAGCAAATTTTCTGTTCCACAATATGGTGCTTTCATTGTTGTTTGTTGTTGTTTTAAAAAATAAAAACAACCAACCCAAAAAGTCCAAGCATTTCAACAGCTCAGTAGAGAGAAGGATGCTTTTGTGGAGGTTCTCTTCAGATATCCCAGCTTTCTGAACCTCTGAAGCAAAGGCTGCCTGTTCTTTTCAAACTTAGAAATTACTTTAATTCACGTGGTATTTCTTGAGCAAATATCCACGAGGAAAAAAACCTAGGCAAATACCAGATATGCCTGTGTCAGTCTATCTGTCAGTCTACCATAAACATTTTCTAAATTCAGTCAATTTAACTGTGCCTGAGAGAAGAGCAGACATCTCAAAGATATCTAATTACTACAATTTTTATGAAAATAAGTGGCCAGGTAGAGGAGAGAGAACCTGGATGTGGCCCAATATAGGGAAGGACAGCTGGAGAAAATGCGAACAGGAGAGGAGGCCTTGTAAATGCCTGGCTTTGCTTGAGTTGGACACAACAGCCCCAGGACACAAAGCAGAAGGGATGCCGTCTGCCTTTGTTCTGATGCTGAAAATGGTCTTTTTAGGAGAAAGAGTTAAAAATTCATTTCTCTTTAACTGAAAGCTGATATGCTCCTCCATATTTATTGTTTCTTCCAAGGAAGAAGCATCCTATCACCATTGCAAAGCATGGTGATAGACAGTGCAAAAGCCCCCTATATTGATATATTGCTTTATTTATTATTTTTTTAATTCTTCTCCTAATGGTAAGCTTAAATATATTGATAACAGGAAGGGATAAATTATACTATGCAAAGGTGTTGAACTGTACTATCAATATGTAACCTGAATAGATACGCAATCTTAACTGAGCCTGTTCTAATCTTTTCACTTGGCCTCCACGTCAGAAAGCAGATAAACAGGTTTCAGCTATTAAAAACTGTGAGACTGAAAGCAGGTTACCAACTCGCACATGTTTTTAAAGTTTTTACACTCATTCATGTGCATTTTTGGCATTCTACACCGCAATAACGTATAATTTCTCCCCCTTTTTTGGAGGTTGCCAAAAACCCCTCAAATACCCCAAACGATGGCTGTTAGAGGCAATATTATGCTTGGAAACTAAGGTCAGCTGTACAGATCTGTCCGTGCTCGCTGGCAAACACTCCAGCCCAAAGCTTTATTGGCATAAATTTGGTGTGTATGGCAGTCTATAGTTAGTTGCCTTTTTTTTTCCCCCCATCATGGCAGATGTTACAGACATCGCTCTCTACCGCTGACAGTTTTCAGACGAGCAATTTAAATTAAGACATCTCTTGGCTTGCAGGGATAGCAAAAGCTGCTCTGATGGGTGCTTTTATGCCTCCTGTGACTTTGTTTTAATTGATGGATTCGAATTTGCAAATTGAGGGTATTTTTTGCTTTGTGTGAATGCCTTGACCCTAAAAGCCTGACAAGTTAGGGGAGGGCAGTTTCCTTGGCTTCCCACTGAGGCAATGGTAGATATATTCTTGAAAAGTAGGCCAGGATGTAATGCTTACTGCTGCTTCTCCCTTTAGATTTCATTATCCATCTATAGCTGTGGCTGTGTGAAGGAAAGAGAGTGTGAAAAGCAACATGATCAGGGTTACTATTGTGTTTGATTGTTCATGAACCTCATTTTGTTCTTCCTCCACACTCCCCTTGGTTAGGATTCATCTCGCTTTTAGTTAGGTCTTTAGTTTAAGATAATTGCCTATGTTCCCCATAGAGTTAGTGGAGAAAGAGGGAAGGAGACAGTTCCTAAAGGCAACTCATCTCATCCGAGATAGGCATCTCAAAGAGGTGTTGTTATTCATCCTCTGGAGGTAACTGTCTCTTCACTGAGGGTGCAGCCACACTAGATGCCTGACTTGCGGTTAGCAAAGTTAGACATGAGCCCTCCTTTCTCTGTCCTTTTGTCTGGAGAGTTGCTGCTTCCTTCTGATCTTTGCTGTGATCCTGTATCAAAGTGTCTGCAATCAGCTTCTTGAAGTATCTCCATAAGGCGTTATTCACAGAAGAGGGGTGTTGAATAATGACCATAGTCCCAAGATACAATTTCCTCCTTGAATCCTGGCACAGCTGTCATATTCTTTTCTTGCTCTTTAGCAGCTTTCTTCATGACTCCTCCGTTGCCTTTCTCTATCCTGTTGCTAACACAAGCAGTATGGTGCTGATACGTGACAGCAGTATAAGCCCCACGTACCCATACGTCTGTTGTGCACATGGAACTGCTAAGACTAAATGTTATAAGACTGTAAATTTTTATAGTCTGTTAAGTCCAATAAAATGAAATTCCAAAAAATACCAATTTGGTCTCAGAACTTCTAAGAACTGAAGTCTTAGCCCTGAAACCTGAACTACTATAGTCGTGCAGTTGCCCAACTCCGCAAGGGACTTTATCTTATAGAGGGCCATCAAAACTAACGGCACGTGCACTGGACTGACCGCAGGGGTAGCGTCCCTTCAGCTTCCTGATTAAATGAATGTCCTTGCGGTGTCCGTTTTGCTTTTCCTGTCTGATTAGTAAGCCTCAGATGAAACGCTTGGCTGACTTGAACTCACAGTTGGGGATGGAGAAGGTTTTAACGCAACCTGCTCACAAGCAGGCTGCCCTCATGAAAAGACCAGCCTGCATTTTTTTACTTTCAAGCCAGCGTAGCTCTTATACAGATGTGGGGCTTGTGATTTCTGTGTGGCTGGCCAACGAGGAAGGTTATGCATTTCCATGTGAGCTGATGTCAGTGTTTGTGTACTAGTTTGCCATCCAGTGACATTCTCATATGTGTATCAGGAGGGTGAAACCGATGCATCAGAAAACCTCGAGGAGGGCTCTCTGCAGGAAGGATGCTCACGTTACCTATTCTGACCTGCATAAAGCAACAGACTGGTTGCTGCAGTCAGCTTGAACTCTGAATAAGCTGGATTTTGACTTGCAGATACTTTCTTACACACAAAAATCTTCCTTGATGTTTTCTTGTGGCTTGGTCCCTGCCTGGGCATCATCTTCTGGGAAAGAAAAGTGCGATATCCTGAACTTTCTAGGAAATTTGAAATAAACCGGTGCTTGTTTATGGCACTGGATTTTCTTTATAACTGAAACACTGTTGGTCAAATGAATATTTAAAATGTATTTTGCTTAAATGACAGTTGTTAACCTTCCGGGTAATCAAGCCTTAGGGTAAGAGGGGGAGCCTCAATCAGTGCAAATATTCAGCAGCAACCTGAAGGGATCTTTCAACATTTAAAGGAGTGAAGATATGTCAGGGTCATATTGGGACAATAGAGAAATGAATCAGGCCCCTGGGATTTTCTGCCAAGTATAGGTATACACAGAAGTAATAAAGCGAAAAATAAGTATTTGGCACTCAAGTGGTACTTTGCAGAATTCCAAGTGATTTCTTTGTGACTTAGAAAAGAACACCTCAGTTCTGAAATATGGTGAAATACAGAACTGGAAAAATGCTTTGACCTTTAAGATCTTTTTTGGTGAAAAATTCACTTTAAGTGATATCACAAGTTTATGCTGACTTTGGTAAATCGTTCATTTGAAAGCGTGGCCCTCTCTTTCCCAAATAAAAATTGCAGAAAATATTTTTAATATTTTTTTCTGGAATTTTTATTTTATTAAAAATATCAAAAAAACCCCCTTAGAATCCATATTACTTGGAATTTTCTCCCTTTTCCATTAAACCAAAACTACTTTGGGTTTAAAACGAGAAGAATTTTTTACAATATATTTTTTTGGCCTTGCTAGTGAAGAGAATCTGTATAAAAGACTTGGGATAAATCAGTGGGTTTTGGTGCCGTAGAGCTTGTTACAATGCTAGCTCATACAAACTAGCTCCCAGACTCTAGCAACTTGTGTTTTTATGCATCCCAAGATGGGTGATGTGACTGAAGATACAGAAACTCTTAGGAGAGTTTGAGGTACAGGAAGACTGTGATGGGGAGCGAATTTGTTAGCTCTGTATGATGGCAAGAAAGAGAAGATGAGTGAGCAGGCTTGTTTGACTACATTTGCCTTTCCCTGCAGCGGAGCGGGAAAGGGACTTTTCATCTAGTGAAATTATTTGCATTTTCTGTTCTTTAGGTAACTTTTTTTTTTAATATCTAAACTCTTTTATTGGTTCTGTTTTGCCAGGGTAGTTGTTTAAATAAGCTAGAATAACTGGCGCTCAAATGATAAGACCTACTGTCCTCCTGTCAGTCAGTGCTGTAGTAAAGGCCAGAAGATACCCTCCTTGACCCAGAAGGAGATGCGAGCCGAGCAGGCAGGACGTAAAAGCCCTTCTCATTTATCTCTCTACGTGTTGGTGAGATGCAGACCTGGGCTTTGTTTCCAAAAAAGTAAAAAGGTCTCTGTTTCTTCACCGATTCCCAACAAGGACAGGCACGTTACTTGCACTCTGACCCTCCTGCATCTCTGGTGGTACGGCTCCAAGGGAGGAGAAAGAGTGGAAAAGAGGAGCCAGGGTAAATAAGGTAGTGAGTGACAAATTCATGCAAGGCCTAAATGAGGGTGAGAAAGTTTAATACAATTATTAATTGTTATTGTTTTCTTAAAATGCAAATCTCTGCTCAAACTGGCACCGATACAGAAATCTGGAGTGACAAGGGTTGAGCAATTAATTTCTTTCATCCAAGTCAGGGTCCTGCCCAGCCCATCATCTACCAACAGCTAACAATTCTGGGTAAATGAAGCTGTCATTTGGTGAGGAGGGAGTGAGGCAGAGAATGGAGAGATGGATGGACCACGCAGTGGTTTTGTGTGTGCGTTTGGAAGGGGAAGGTGAGAAATGGGAGGGCAGCAGCTGGAGGAGGTTATCAGGATGTATTTCCTTTAATGCATCAGGATTTATTGTGTGTGTGGCCTCTCCACTGGCAAAGAGTTCTGTGGCGATTTCAGTGGCACAAGTATTTCTTTCTGACTTTTCTTTTTCCCCTTGCAGCGTTGGTGATGGTCCTGAATAGCACGAGCGTCAGCTGGAGTGCCCGCATTCAGATTTTCCTTACCTTTTGCAAGCTTGTAGCAATTCTGATAATTATAGTCCCTGGAGTTATCCAGCTAATTAAAGGTATGAAATGAAAAGTAAATGCTTTTAAAGTGCTTTTATCTTTACGCTCCCCAGTCTTTCCCCACCTGCCTACACCAAATAATGCTTACAGCAGCAAAATCTCTTAATTAGTCTGTGCTTGCTTAACTGAGGCTCTGTACTATCATGTAATTGATGAGAAGTGGAACTACACTGGGATGGACTGGTATTTTCTTTAGCATGCCAATGAGTCTATTCAGATCAGACTTGGTTTTCAAATAAGCGACAGGATTGCTCTTTGCTGTAATTTGCCTTTGGCATGAACTTTGTGACAGGGGCAGGATGAGTTTAATGACAGATGGGCATACCCCTCCCCAAAGCACATGCCTAGTCCAGGCAGAATATGTCTTCTTTAACTGGGCTAGTGCCTAGTCCTGTTCAGTACTGGGTATGTGGTGGCAGAGGGGGCTCAGAATTGGGGAATATATGAAAGCAACAGTATCATGGATGCTGTTCTACCACTTTGGTGATGTAAATTGTGAAGTTAAAGGTGCTGTACTGGCAAGAGAAGCTGTAGTTAGCTATTGCTTTCATGGGCTTCTTGCCTGCAAGTACCGGATGCTCATGCTGCATGCATGCTTTACTTGTTCCAAAACTAAAGCGTACGGCTAAAGGCAATAGTCTGGGGCTAACTCAAGCGTAGGAATGGAAAGCAGAAGTGTTTGGAGGCTCAGAATTACTCTACAGACTTTATCAGTGTTGCTGCATACGCAAGGAGTGTGAAAACACACCTTTGTTCTCCCCAGCAACACCCAGCACGGACATGGCTGCACAGGCCTGCACTGGCTCTCTGGAAGTCGTTTGGGTAAGGCCGTGCTGGCAGAGAAACTCTTTGCACTGACAAATACTCAGCTACCCAAAGAGGCTTTTCCATTACAGCCCTCTGAGCAGGGGGTGTGAGATGGGGACAGGCCCCGGCTCCCTCTCGTTACAATAACGCTAGACAATAACTCCCTAAAGCACAAGGAGCCATTCAGCGCAGAGGGTCAGAACCGGGAGCGCTTTTTAATGAATTGGTGGCAGATTTTATCTGTTGACTCTGTCCCTGGGGATGCTCTTTTGTGATACTTCACAAAGCCTCCCAACTGAGTCAACAGCATGGCATTAGGCTCTGCGGTGAGCTCCGTTTCTCAGGGACAGGCGACTCTCTGGGGTTAGCAATAGACTCGGAAATAAAAGTTTTCCTGTGTAGCGCTCTGCTGATTCACTATTTCTGTTTTTGTGTTTTTCGCTTCCTTTCTGGCAGTTGCAATGCGTCTTCCCTCACCTCCTTTCATGTGCAAAATTTCTCTCTGTTCCCAGCCGCTCCATTTTTCCCAGACCTTTGGAGCAGGCCAGACTCAGGTTTGGATGGGGTTTGCTGCCCTTAAGTAGCTCAGACAGGGTCCCTGATTCCCCACCAGGACCTTCCTCTGGCCACAGCTCCTCCCTTACCCAAAAAGTCTCCGCTTCAGTGGGAATTTTGATAAGAGAGCTCAGTAAAAACCAAATAAAGGGTAGAGGATTTGCCCCATTGCTGATTTACGGTCTGAATGAATTCTGCTGCTTCCTGCTCCTTTTCTGTGGAGGCTTCCTGGGAAATTCCGGATACTGTAGAGAGGTTTTATAAAGCATAGAGCACCTTGTAAGTGAGTAAGAGTGTAAAACAACTCTTACATGTTTACATTTATAGATATGTAATTCTTACTTAGTGAAATATTAATATAGTACTGACTATAACGTGGTAGGGAGTTGCTAATTTTTCAGTGGAAGAAATGTTTAAGATATTGGGTTTGTTTACCTTAGAAACATTGCTTGTGAGTGAAATGCTAGCAGTGTTCCTTCCCATTAAAATGTTAAACAAGTGAAATTTTCTACAGCAAAAGCTACAGAGCTTATTCTGCTCTTTCACATTGATGTAAGTCACTGCTGGAGATGACAGCTCAGTGATTGTCATCAAGCTCAGAATGGTTTGAAAAAAACCTAATAGGTCAAATTCTGCTATTGCATGACTAGGGACACCATGAAACCTTTTACACCAGCTGGCAGATTACGGCTGCAAGGGTTGGGTCAGAAATTAAAGTCAAGGGCAGAACTTGAAGTGAGTGAACTGCTGGGTGATTAAATGTTCCATGGTGTGATATATTTATTTGTTTTTAAAGTAGTAGGTGACCAAAGAGCTTATTTTTCTAATATTGTTTTCTGTTGATGTTGCAGGAGAAACACAGCACTTTAAAAATGCCTTTGCGGGGAATGATGCCAGTGTTATGGGATTACCACTTGCTTTCTATTCAGGAATGTATGCCTATTCAGGCTGGTAAGTTGTTGAAACCTCTATTTGTCCTGAAAACAAACAGTAATATGCTCTAACAAAGACATATATTTATATGAAGAAATGAGTAGCACGTTCTACATCTTTTGCCAAACTATATCATGCAGTAAGGGTAGATCTCACCACTGTTCCATATGCTCAGTAGTTCCTCTGCAGGCAGCTCTAGAAAGGAAAGATTTTTCTTCTCCAGTGTAAACAGGTAAACGTGCACTGAACACTAAAAAAATTAGACTTTTATTTCTGCTCTTAGGACTAGAAATAAAGGCAACAAGGAAGGAGTGTTCTCAAATTTTCATTAGGTATTTTGATAAAAGGATAAAAGGGATAATGAAGCTTCAATTTTTGTTGAATAAATCAGTAATTACATGAAAAACCAGTCTATGAACTGTTACAAAGTTGTGCGGACCTCAGCCTTTGCTTTGTAAAAAGCAGTATTTGAAGAATAAGTAGTGAACCACGATAACATCAGTATAGCCCACAAAACAAGGTAAAAAACTAGGTTCTTATGCCTCTTGTTCCGAGAGAATTGGACCTCACTTAACAAGAAGTGCAACTGGCTTCCATAGAAGTCAAGTGCTATTGACTGTGAGCAAAGGTATGAGAATCTGCCTTCAAGTATCCTGCTCAGAACTTTCTTTCAAGTTCTTTCCCTCTCCCCCACCAAAGTACACAGCAACTGGCTTGAAAGGTGCCGCCGCTCTTTGAATCTGCCTTACAATTTATTCATGCTTAGCGAGGGCTCCGCATCGCGCAGTGCCAACGTGCTTTTGCAGCAACAGTGGGATGGGGTGGAAAAAGACTATAATGCACAGAGTGGGCTTATTTTGAGATAGCTTTGTCCGCAGGTCTTCCCTTTCCTTTCCATACCCTCACAGGCAGCCAAGTTCTTTAACTCACACAAAAGGTGAGGGCTGAGAGATAAGGGTTTTATTTATTTAATTCGGAGGGACAATGGGCCGAGCATTTGAGTTCTCTGCCTGTCTGTAACTCCCTGGTTGCAAGAGCATTATAAACATGCACACTGAAGTACTGAGCAGAACTTTTATATTAAATGGTGGGGGGGAAACCCAAGAGAGTCCAAAGCCTTTATCTGTGATAGATATATGAGAAAAGAGCCTGGCATTTTGAAGCCTCAAAGAAATTGAACTCATTATGTGGACAGTCTCTACTTTCTTCCCTCTCCCTCATCTAACAGCCTCTCTCTCACATCCCTAGATGTGATGGTTTCTCACTTTTAAAATATTAACCTAACTGTACATTTTTGTATGAAGGCAGTTTTAAAAGCTCTTTAATATTATTCATCACCAAGGCAGAGTTTGTTTGCTGTAAAACGCTCCATTAAAAATACTGCTATTCTGTTGCTTCTTTCCCATTTCTTTCCATTTTCCACCTAACATTCCAAACCCCTACAATAAAAATCATCTCCGTTTTTCCTTTATGCCTTCTGACTTTTATTTCAAGGTCCTTATTTGCCACTTATAAAAGAAATTAGCAGGAAAAGACCTAATTTGGCTAGTGGTTCTTCCCAGCTGCCGATTTGTCTTTGTCACCAGCTCAAATTGATTGCCTTGGAGCAGAGAAGAGCAGACCATTAAGTGGAGTGTCAATACCCTTGCACTATCAGTTTCATGGGGCTAAATCAATCCAATAAGCTGAATGTGAAGGAGCGTTGCAAGTGTTAGTGTTGTGTCCCAGGATGCAGGCAGAATTTTATGCATAGCCTATGAGACTATTAACTTCTAATGAGACAGCTTTAAAGAACAAAACAAAGGTAGTATCTCTTATATGTGTGGGTTCATCCTGTGAAGAGCAAGTGTAGACTATTGGGTATATAAAATGCTGGGCGAAAAAGGACAAGTAGAGAAAAGAATGCAAGGAAGCATGTCTTTGCGTCAATAAAAGGACTGATGCAGGGCTGTCGAATTACTTCTGTCTAGAAGCAGGACTAAGACCAGAAAAAAATAGCTGAACGTCTTACTTGTCAGAAGCCGTCTCTCCTTTGAACCTTGTGCTCTGTGCACTAGCAAGTTTAGAAACAAGTACTGAGGTTGCTGTATAAGATGGCAAATCTAGTTTTACAGAATTTCATGCTCGATCACAAAATCACATTTTTTTAAAACCCTGAGGCAGCGCTAAGTCATTCTGCTAACCCAGATCCGGTCCAAGCCTTGTGATGGAGAAAAGTTCCCAGACTTTCTGCCAGATCAGGTACCATTTGTTTATCCACTGTAGCACTGTTGGGTCAGATATCATTTGTCTTCCTGCATAAAAGTAGAAAGCCAGCATAAGCACTGTATTGACTGCTCTGTTTAATTAGCGAGGATGTGACTTTGTGCCCGTATCTGAGCCAGGCACATCTGTGTGATCCAGCAATGCATAGGCCTGGTGCTAATAAATGCAGAACAGAGGGTTCAGTGACCTTGAGGCTTACGGTTGCTTTGTATGCAGGGCTGCGCCTGGTGAGTAGTTCCTATGAATTCCCATATGTAGCTGTCTCTTGCGCGCTGCTGGAATACAACCAGAGTGCAACCGGTTGTATGGAGGTTGTGCAAGAGCACGCCGGATTAGCAGCCTGGGTTTGTGATCGTATATGACACGCTAGTGTCAAAATCCTGGTTTTAGAAGGATTTCTTTGAGGCTTCATTTATTTTTATTGTTAAGAAGTCCTTGCTGACTACCCTGATGAGAATTTTTGCCAATATAACCTGAAATTGTAAAAAGCTACAGCCACAAATGGAAGATGAGGCTTGAGGGTGCGTGTGTGTTTGTGTATAGGATTAAGGCAAAAAATAATTTGCCTAGTATGCCGGGGAAAAAAGTTTAATACTACATCGACATTACACACCTTTTGTCTTTTTTTTCCTGCTTTGCTGTCTTTTCTGAGAATTCCCTTCATGAGTGTGGGGATGAGGGAAGGTTAAATCTCACGCTCTCCTTAATCCAAACGTGGGTCTGCAAAATCTACTATAATTAACAGCAGTGCTTAACTAAAAGCATGTTCTTGCTGCTTTGGGAAAGAAATACAGAATCAAAATTTACCAAGCCTTATAATACATTTTATAACTCTTTTCTAGGTTTTACCTCAATTTTGTCACTGAAGAAGTGGAAAACCCTGAAAAGTATGTACCTAACATTTTTCTTGACTTTTGAAAAATAGTTGTAAAATTGAAAATGCTATAAAAGTAGTGATCTTCAGAAATTCTGCATGCTGGTCAAGTTGCTTGCTTTCCAGCAGATCTGGTATCTATTTGAATTGCAACTGCTCGAAGATTTGCTATTTTTGGCCTGTCGTGACCTTGTTATGTATTCTGCTTTTATGTGCACAGAAAGCAGAAAAGTAAGTAGATCCCTAGGGCCCTGATTCTCCCCCTCAGGACACAAGTAACTATCACTGGCTCCTTTCAGTGGAAGTTACTGGTATCCTGTCAGGGAAATCTTGCCCCAAAAACTTACCTGCTGCAATATTTGGCAGTTTTGCTATGTTTAAATATTAATCAAATACTTAGCTCTACTTGTTGTAGAGGTTTCAGAGTTGCAGGATCTTGAATACATATAGCACAGCATCCGATCCAATTAAACCGAACAGGGGAAATTGGTGGGAGTCTGTTTCAAACTCGAGACGAATACTCTCACAGCGCCTGTCTGTAAAATATGGAAAGAAAAGCTGTCCTGTTAGGCACAGTTTGATTTGTCAGCTCTATTTTGGTAGATAGGTTTTGATATATGCGGCCAGTAGTACAACAATATTAACCTTTTCTAAAAATGAAAGAAAATATGCCTTGTCAAATCAAATTGTGTTCTTTGAGGAAATTAACAATTTGATTAAAAATCAATGGGTAGATATAATTTTCTTAGTTTTTTAAAATAAGATACCTGGCTGGGTACCAAATAACTTGCTGTTTAAAAAGACCCCCAGCGCTGTACACTCAGAGAACATGAAGCTATGTATCTGAGACACGTGGAGAAAGAAAAAAAAAAAACCCCAAACATCCATCAATGGAGAGCATGCAGAAGGTTTTTAGTTGGTTTCTTTGAAGTCTGAACCAAGCTTGGTGCTGTTTGGTATTTTGATGAGAGACCTGAAAATAATTCTAAAGACATGGATAAAACGTGAGGATGGCAGAAAGACTGGCAGATTTCCATTGTGTCAGTGCCTTTGAGGAGTCTTGGGTGTTAATGGGCTCTTTGATGTGATCAGGATATGCATACCGAGGAATGTATGGCTGGAAGCTGAAACCAGACAAATGCAGGTAGAAAATCCAGCATTAATATTTAACAAGGTGGCTGGCTAATCATTAGCATTGATACCTGTGTACGGTTCGGTTTTTCACTGCTAGTCTGCTTTAGTAAAAACCAAGTCATTTGGCTTCGTGGAAAGTAGCTGGCTAACGCTTCCCAGGCCTGGGACACACAGAAACTCATGCTAGACGAGCTAGTAGCAAATCTGGGTTTAACTACCAAGGTTCTGTGTGCTTTGTAAAGTCAGGGGAGACAGACATCTAAATAATAAAGTGTTGTTTTTTTGTTGTGAGTTGGTTTGTTGTTTTTTTTTTTTTTACTTTTGAAAAATCGTTGTATGGCAAACTGACTTGAAAAGAAACGTGAAACTAAACAGAAGAGTGAAGTGATTCTGGTCCAAGACTTCTACTGCTTCAGGAAATTCTGAGGAGATGGGCTAGGAACCAGAGTCTTGGTGATGTGATCAAAAGCATTTGCTAGAAGCAATACAACTTGTAAATTATCATGTGGTTACTATCAATACTCTGTGATGTTTTTAAACATGCACATGTCTACCACCCTTTGGGACTTGTCATACACTTAGGTGTCTCTGCAGTCCTCTTAACTGTATGGTGATTAACTTGAAATTATTGGTAATTTTCATTACAGCTATTTTGGTTTGTGTTGACTTTTTTTCCTTGTGGTTTGAGTCAGAGGAGCACATATTTTTGAACATGCTGCCCTTTGCTGTGTAGGATAGAAAGGCATAGTTCCCCTTTTTTCTTTTTTTTCTTTTTTTAACTGAGCACCTATTGAAGCATGTTGTGTCACAGCTAAGAAAAGTGGTATGGGTTAGATTTTGGGGTTTTCTTCCTTGCAGCTGGGATGTGAGGGAAGGAGACACTCTCTTTTCTGCCCTCATCTTGGGAGAGCTTCTCTGTTCTCCAGGTTACCCTTGGAGAGCTGCTGTGGGGATTTAGGACCAGGGGGCAAGCCACAGAGCCTGGCTGGTTTGGTGTATTCCAGGATAGCTCTGGAAAAAACAGCTCAATGTTAGCACGTGCAATGTTGTCACAAAGCTGTTAAAGCTTCCTTTCATCGCTCTTCTTGGGGTTGCACTTTGAGAGGACGAGAAGGGAAGATGCCCAGTGTTTACAGCAGGGTGCCTGGGGTCACAATCTCCATGCAAAGGTACAAATATACAGTAGAAGGATTGGGATTTTAAACATTGCTAAATAACTGGCAGGGGATGACAGGGCAAGTGGATTGTTACTGCCTGCGCTGCCGGAGACCTCTGCACCACCCGTAAGTGGGGATTCTGGACTCCCTTCACCCAAAACAAGCAATTATATGAAACAGTTGGAATATTATTTTTTTTTAAATCCAGTTTCCACCTGTGAATGACTCTGTTGGAAAGATGTCCTGCTGA